TGAAATTGTAAGTATATAATAATTTAATTATATTCTGGGTTAATATGAATTTTGACAATTGCCAAAGCTTCATTTAGAGCATTTTGTTTTTTAAAATATGAAAGTGAATTTTGAATGCCAGGTATCTCTTTGAAAAGTTAAGTGCCACCCGTACAAGTGTGAGAAATTATTCATGTCATCTTCCATCATTCTTGGACCATTGTTAACTGATTATTTTCCTTTAAGTCTAGAAAAAAAATAAAGGAAAAATTCTGCCTAACCTCTTTCTCATGGCTTCATGTTTCTCAAAGAAGATATCATTTCATTTTGAACCTGCCCGTTTTTTGTTATGCAAGACTGTGCTGCACATGTAGGACATTTTGCATCTCTGGCCTGTACCTGCCAAATGCCAGAACTTCCCCCTGAGTGTCACATCCTTCTATTGGGACTAAGAAGGGTGAATCTACCTCTAAATGAAAAGCATTAAAGAACTTTACCTTGATACTGCAAAGTGTTTGAAATATATAATTTCATATGCATTAAATAAACATGGCAAGATTTTATTTGAAGCACTACAATTTATGAGGTTTGAAATCATTAACGTGATTTTTTTTTTTTTTAGATAAATGTATGAGTTGCCTGTTAGAAGTAGCTCTTTCAGGAAATGAAGAACAGAAGCCTTTTGATTACAAATTGCGGCCTGAAATTGCTGTCTATGTAGACTTGGCATTGGGTTGTTCTAAAGAGCCTGCCCGCAGTCTTTGGATCAACATGCAGGATTATGCGGTTAGTAAAGGTAAGATAAATAGGATAAAAGTAGTAAATACGTCTCTAACTCATAATGCAAATACGTACATGTCATGTATAAACAGAAAATTACAGAAATCATATTACTTTTTTATAAGAAAATGCATTTTACAAATAACACTTTAAAACAACTTTCCCTTTGTGGAAAATACTCTAGGGTTTTGGGGTATTTTTTGGTACCGGAGATCAAACTCGAGTCCTTGGGCTTGCACAGCAGGTCGCAAAACCACTGAGCTAAATCCCCGGCCCTTTGGTGTTTTTTTTTTTTAATACACATGTATCCCACTTAAACCCACTATGTAAAAACTGAAATTTATACACTAAATCATTTCACTATATTATGTACTGTGTAACGGATATAGCCTAAGAGTCTGTTTAATGAGTCTCTTCCCTTTTGCATCCCCTGATATGTACTTAGAAATCTAAATTCCAGGCCTGATGAGCATTTTCTTCATCTGTAAAACTCTTAACCACTTCAGAGTGCTGGTAAAGATGGCAGTTTGCTGTAAGGTATATTAAATGCAATAATAAAATGCTATGGAAATATAATGGTATTTTAGTTTCTAGTATTATTTGGTTAGTAAAATTAATTATATATATAAATTTTCAAAGCATGTACCTGACTTTTTAGCTTGCATGTTCCTTTTACAACGTTCTATTTTGTTTAGAATCACGTATTTCTAGTTGTCTTTCTCCATGTTACTCTCTGTCATCTAATTTTTAGTTTTCTCCCATTTTTCTCTTTTGAATTTTCTTTCTTCCATGATTAAAATGGTAAAAAGTAAATACATTTTCACTTTATGGGCTTTTATCTTTTCTAAATAAAATGAACTGATATGCATATTATTCAAATCTTTAAATTACCAATGAGAGGATACCTTTGAGGATTTAATCTTAGCCAGGCTTGGTGGCACACACCTCCAGTCCCAGCTACTGGCAGAGGAAAGAGGTTCATGTGAACTCTCAAATTCAAGCCCAGCTTGGGCAGCATAGTCAGACACCATCTCAGAACCAAGCAAACAAACAAACAAACAGAAAGTTTAATGTCATCTATCTTGTTTCTTAACCATTTATTCATTTTATTATGTTGATTCCTATGAAAAGTAAGGTAATTGAGAAGGAAAATTTACTTTCTAAGATATTTTTACATATTCTAATATTTGTATTATTTATTTGGAATATGCAGTTAGATTTTTTTTAATGTCACATTATCATTTGTTACATTAAAGTGAGAACTTTTAAAACCTAGAAATAAATAAAAAGTGAATAAAAACTTATCAATTTATGTGTTGCTTGTATACTATAGCATGAACTTTATACATTCTGTAATTTTTTTTTTTTTTTTGGTACCGGGCATTGAACTCGGGACCTTGTGCTTGCATGCCAGACGTCGAAACCACTGAGCTAAATCCACGGCCCCATTCTATACTGTTTGATGTAAAATGAGTATAACTTTAATGGTGATGTTTTAAGACAACACACTACTTTAAAAATCACATGAAACGCTGAGTATTTAACTCAGTGGTGCCGGGCCTGCCCGGCAAGCACAAACAAGGTCCTGAGTTCATTTCCCGGAAAAAAAAAAAAAAAAAAAAAAAAAATCACGTGAAAGGATAATCCCTCCAAAATTTGAAACAAAGAAAAGAGTGTTACTGTAGTTTGCTCTTTAAGTATTAGCCTCCTTGAAAGGAAGTCCTGTTTGATTGTCAGTCATGGTAGTTCTCATAGTAAATAGGCCCATGGAACAGATGATTTCTTAAGAACCTGGTATGGATAGGTTAATATAGACTGTCATCTTAAGATTCTTTGTGGCTATAATTTTTTTTTTTTTTTAGTCAGGCATATTTGTATTGTTCAATTTTTACCCTTAAAGGAGGTAAGTCTGAAGTTAAATTTTTGACCTGTGTATATGGAAAATCAGGATATAAGTTTTTATCTCTTGAGATAGATGTCTTTAGGAACAAATAAAATTAAGTTGGAGCTAACATTTCCCAAGAATTTTTTTTTCCAGTGTTGGGGATTGAACACAGTTCCTTCACACGGAGGTGCATTCCCAGCCCTTTTTGTTTTTTATTTTGAGACAGGGTCTTGCTAAGTTTCCGAGGCTGAGCTGGAACTTGTGATCCTCCTGCCTCAGCCTCCCAGAGTGCTGAGACTACAAGTGTGAGCCATCATGCCTACCTTGGTTTGTCTTTAAGGAGGACAAGCATTTAGTTAATCTGTCATATGAACAGAGTCTAACAGTCAATTTGGGGCAGAGTGGACAATCTTTTACCACCATTTGAAATCTATTAAATATACTCTATTTCAGCAGTACCATACTAGTGTGCAAACACAGAATAAAGAATAGGAACTACATTTTAAATACATTTAGATTCAACTTTGACTTCTCTCATATTCTCACGTTTCATATCTGATCCATCAAAAAATTGTGTCATCACCTTCAGAATTCATATGGACTCTGAACACTTTCCGTACGTCCACTGCTGTCACCCTAATCTGAGCCACTGTCAGTCTTTTGAATTACTACAATAATGACTGCTGCTGTTGTCCCTGTAGATGGTTCTCTACTCTGCAGTCAGAGCTTTTATTTTTATTTTTTTCTTCATCTGAACTACATTCCCATCCTTTTTTTATTTATTTACTTTGAGACAGGATCGCACTAAGTCGCTAAGTTGCCCAGGCTGAAGTTGATTTGTGATCCTTCTCCTTAAACTTCCCAGTATTGGGATCACAGGCATGCACCACTACACCTGGCTAATTTTATTTTATCTTATTTTTTGAGACACAGTCTTACTATGTAGTACAGATTGGCCTTGAACTCACTGTGTAGCCCATGCTGGCCTCAAACCTGGGATCTTACTGCCTCAGTCTCCTGAGTGCCGAGATTACAGGAATGTATCACTATGCTCAGCTAGTCAGAGAGCTTTTCAAAACTCCAGTCATATCATGTCATGTCTCTGTTCAAAGCCTTGTAATACTGTTTCTCCTTTTCCTTTTTTACGTAAAGCCTGGAGGATTTGCACTGGCCTACAAGTCTAGTGTCATCTAGTTTCTAACCAGCTCCCTGGTATCTTCTCCTGCTGTTCTTGTGAGGCACACTTTGCTCCAGCCCAGCCACACTGACCTTCTAGAACCCTCTAGCTAGGTTCTCTGCACTATGTGTCCTGAGGTCCTATTTTCTTTCATGTGGCTTCTTTCATGTGACTTAAATTTCTGTTCACATGTCTTATCATGATCTTTCTCTGATCACTCTATATAAGATAGTAATCACATATAGTCACATATGGTAAAATATTCCCTGTTCTTTTTATGCTACTTTATTTTCCTCCATAGCACTTACCTATCATATCAGTATTTTTATTTATTTTATCACTCATGATACACCTTCTCAATCCTCACTAAGAATCTAAATTCCATGAGATCAGAAGCTTGGTTTTGTTTACTGCTGTGTCCACAGCACCTGGAATAGTATGTGAATTTGTTAAATACTGTTTAGAAAGATGATGAAATTCAGGTGTTAGATAACCAAAGCTATTAAAATACCTCTGAGCTGTTTTTTGAGCCATTTTTTAATATCAGTGCATCATTTTTATTTTCAGATTGGGACAGTGCAACTTTAAGTAATGAGTCACTCTTGGACACTGTGTCTAGATTTGTTCTTGCAGCACTTCTGAAACACACAAATTTACTTAGTCAAGCATGTGGAGAAAGCCGGCAAGTAACTTAAAACTATGCTCAGACAAATATTTGCTCTTATGATGTTAGAAATTAGGTAACTTTCCTATTTTGGTTCTTTATTTAGATACCAACCTGGTAAAAGCTTATCAGAAGTGTACCGTTGTGTATACAAAGTTCGAAGCCGTTTACTTGCTTGCAAGAACCTTGAACTTATTCAGACCAGGTCATCATCACGAGACAGATGGGTAAAGTTGGAAATAAATTTAGTTTCTATGTTTTTCTGCCAGTGGTGAGAGAGATAGCCTCATATTGGTTTATGTGAGAAAAAAAAGTGCCAGTATGGCAGATGTTCAGTAAATGTTGAGAGTTTGTTTTCTAATGAAAAGGATGAAAAAGTACAAGGAGTTTGGAGTTTATTTAACTCCACTTTTACCAAGTATGATAGAGCTGCTAAGAAAGTTTGTGGCATAAATAATAATAGGAAATATTCTTTTTTATGCTGGTCAGGTTACATTTGAATTATCCTGGTTATCTTGGGGTGCCAGAAATTATGAGGGACATTAACAAATACCTAAAATTGGGGAATGTTCCAAAAATAATCTTATATAAGAATTGGAACGTATCAGAAATGTTCAGCCTAGAAAAGAAAAGTGAAAATGAAGGAAGGGGGTTGCACATGAAAATAGTCCTTATTATTAGAGTGTCCACCCCTGAAAGAAAAGATTGAAACCATTTATTGAGGTAGTCTAGAAGTAATTCTTAAAACAAAAGTAAGATGATTTCTAAAATGCCTTGTATTCTCGGTACCATGATACTGTAATTGTAAATACAAGCCTGGGTACATGATCTTCACAAGTGCTTCCTTTGAAACTGGATATATCAGATGCTGTGTACTTCATTATTTAGTTCTTAGATTAAACAAACCAAGGTGTCTCTACATTTGTGTTAGAACAGACTTTTGGCTTATATTGACTTAATATTTTTGTGAATCTGACTGTTTGACAATGACTTTGTGTGTCATTTTGTTGAGGCTCATATTTGAAATTCACATATTATGGGGATAAATGACTTACATACTACTATGTGAGTCTGACTGCTTAGAATCCCCATCTTTGTGAAATTCCTAAGTTATTTACTGGTCATGGGATCTGAAGATATAAAATTTTCATTTGTGCTTTGTACTGAAATTTGCGAGAGAAATTATATTCCTTTATGGTATTTGTGATTCTCTGAGTACCCTCTTGTTGTGAGGACTCTGTATAACTGCTGGGTAGCATGACGATGGGAAATAAAGCTAACAAAGTTAAAGAAAAACTGTTTTAAATTTAGAATTAATAACCATCCACAGGGTAAAAACTATACCTTGACAGAAATAACAGAATCAATATTATGGTCTTTAATTACCTTTTCTGCTTGGTGTTGTATATTCACAATAACTTATTTTAAGTTGCTGCTCTCTTAATTTCCAGGTGAATAGCAGTATAAATGTGAATCAGTTTATAGTATGACATTTTAATACAAAATACCATGTATATATTTTGTATGAATAGTTTCTAATTTTCTAAGATTAATTCATTGTATCTTTTTGTGTTTTTGTTTTAAAATCCATGTATTATTATTGATACTAGCAGTATTTTTATGGTAAGGAAGTTAGAGCTTTAAGAAATTTTTAAAAGCTTTTGAAAAATATATTCAGTGTAGTTTCTGATAATTTCTTTAAGATCTCAGACAACCAAGATTCTGCAGATGTTGATTCTCAGGAGCATTCATTTACCCGGACCATTGATGAAGAAGCTGAAATGGAAGAACAGGCTGAGAGAGACCGGGAAGAGGGGCATCCAGAGCCAGAGGATGAGGAGGAAGAACGGGAACATGAAGTGATGACAGCTGGCAGTGAGTACATTCTTTGTATTTTAGAGATAAACATCATGACATTCTTTTTCATAGGAAAGCTGACTTGAGAGAGAAAGGCAAAGTTGCTCCATAGTTTTTCTGAGACAATCCTATACTCTACTGATGATCTGAATTTACATTAGCTAACATTTCACAAGGGTACTCACAACTGTGCTAGCATCACTCCAGTGCTATTGGGTTGCATGTCCAGGCCTGAAAAGCTCTGGAAGCAGGCATGGAAGTATCTGAGCCTCCTAATGAAATGACAGACATGAGTCATTGAACAAGGTCATGCAAAATACATGTATGCTTATTAAGAGTGCCACGTTGTTTTCCATGTGTAGAACTTACTACTGTTTCAGTAGGGAGAAGGAATGTATAGGAGAATACCATTGTGTGGATGAATAAACTTCATACTTTTATATTCCAAGGCTACAGATAGTTTTTAAAGGTAATTATTTATATGTTAAAAGAGAAAGGTAAAAAAAAAAAAAGAGAAAGGTCAGAGCTTTTCAAATATTTATTAATATCTTTTGAGTGATTTCACTGTTTCAAGTTAGAGTATGTATTCAATCTGTAGCCTAAAACATTAGGGCCAGCCATGCATTTGGTGTTGACATCATCTGTATGTCAGTCACCTTGACACTTACTCTATTGTCAATTTATTTGTGTTCTACGTACTTGTACAAATAATTCTGAGCTGTCCATACAAGACTAAACACTAAACAAAAAGAAAAAGATGAGGTTCAAAAGGAGAAAACTAGTTTAGAGATGAGGAAGAATGACTGTTGTTTTAAAAACTAGGCTGAAAGCAGCCCAAGTGCCCATCAACGGGAAACTGGATAAAGAAGATGTGGTTTTTTTTTTATAAAATGGGGTACTACTCAGCCATAAAGAATGAAAAACTAGAGTCATTTATAGCTAAATGGATGCATATCAAGGCCAACTCTTAAGTGAAGTAAATAGGACACACATGTATAAATACCTAATAGTTT